ACATTTTTGCAAATTATAGCGCAAGTAAGCTAAGCCAATTGGCAAAAACAAAAATCTAACAAGATAAGTAAATAGCGTCTACGCAAAACCGCTGGCATATATATACATAAGTACATATGCATGTATGTACATACAAAATACATATGTATATGTATTTATGCACATAAGTAAGTATGTGGCTGCATGTACTCTGTATCTACTACATATTTTTATGTCCACATGTACGTACATAATGAACATTCGCTAGCTGCCAGGGAATTAAATGTTGGGCAATTTCATTTGGCGAAAGCACATCTTTCCTGGATCCGATGTGTTTATGTAGTTTGGTTTTTATTTGCAGTGATATATATATGTACATATATACATATAATGCTGGGATCGCCGGGGATTAAAGTCTCTGTGCGATGTTCGCGTTTACGTACAATACACAAAATGTATGCAGATATCTGCTCTGTGCTTTTTATAAACAATTTTCGGGTCAATAACCCTTAAATAATTTTGCCAAATAACCTAACTTATACTGTTTCGAAATTAAAATCTTCATGTAATATTAAAATATGTAATGTCACACTTCGAAGTAGCCCTTTAAGATAAAATATGTATGTACATATCTAATAGACTCAAGATACTTTGCAAATTGGCCTAATTTATGAGCATGTTAAAAATTCACTTAAAATACGAATCATCACTTTTGGTAGGTTTAGACCTCATTTGGCAGAATTTTTTGTAGGCAAAAGATTTTTGTAGTGATAACTCTGGTTCCTATTTTCTTAGACAGACGATCAAAATTGTGCCTTGGCAGAGGGCAGTACTGCGGATTAAGCGCGCAGCGAGATCGTGACCAGCTAAATATTTTTAGGTCCTTTAATTATTACTTTTACTTATAAAGAGAAGAACCAAAAGGCTGTTTATAATTTTGTTGCTGCAAAGGTTGCTCATTTTATAAACTTTTAGAAAACAGAGAGATTAAGAATTCAAACTTTTTAGGTTTTAATTCAAAATTAGTATAACAAAAGTCGCCCTTTTAGACCCCTCGGTCGTCAAGGGTTAAAGAATTTTGTTTTTTTACTAAACTGTAGGAATCATAGGATACTCAATAAAAAAAAATACTTTTTAACCGTAATTAGCGTCGGCCACAAAGCAGAAATTTATACCATAGGCCCATTTAGGGACAAAGTCATGGAAACCTTCAGCACCCTGTATCTCAAAATGTAGAGGTATGGGTAAAGTCAGTTTCGGAATCAGCGGATCCAAATCCATATAAAAAGAGATATTTCATCCAATGTACACAACCCCAAAATGTTTATTGTCACCTTAACGTGGAATCTCTTAGTTGCTGGTAAAGATAGATATTTAAAACTTGAAAAAAAAATTCTTTTTCTACACAGCGGAGTTCAAATAATACTTTTACAACTAAAACATTAACATTTTTTACTAATTGTTTTTCCTAAAAGTGCAGGCTACAATATAGGTGTTACGGAAGATAAAGCCAAAAATACTTCCTATGTTGGGATAAATCATGAAAACCTTCAGCACCCTGTATCTCGAATCTTGACGTGGCGGAAAAATTTTGGTGCCGTTTACGAAATCAGTAGGCCCAATCCCATATAAAATATTATACATATTGCAACATATGTATATTCGGGTGTTTCGCCGCGTTGTTGTTGTTGTTGTGGCGGCTACTCCAGCCCGCCCAGATCGGCATGTTCATCAATGTTGTCCATAGGGGTTTTGGGTGCATGCGAAAAGGTGCCGTGAGTCATGTGGCGACTCTCCGCAGGCCGGGCACATCTGCGTTGACTCTGCTCAGGTACGTGTTTAACCTGCGGCAGTATACGGCATTCACAGGTCGAGAGTCGCTGTAAGTCGTTAAGTCGCTCATCAGTAATCTTTAGAGACAAATCTAGCAAACCTACTAAAATAAAACAGGGGGTTCTACGGGGTGGTGTCCTTTTCCCACTACTGTTAAACTTTTACATCTCTATGCTTCCTCAACCACCAGAGGAAGTCTCGATTGTCCTTTATGCTGACGATTGTTCGATAATGGCGAAGATTGCTGTATTATACCAATCTTGTGACTATAACAATTTTTGTCGTCACATTTTTTTTATTTTGTACCAATAGCCGAATATAAAAAGATACTAATCTGTACAAATTAACCAATCGAGTGGCAGCGCCTTAAAACTTTGTGCAATATTAAAAAAAAAAAATTGTAAAATTTCGAGCTTTTTTAACTAGATTTCCTAGAAGATTCTGAGTCTCAGTTTTGTAGCCCATTGCATTCTAGTAGAATAAAGTACAAGTTACATATGGCTAAAAATTACGCTTGATCTTTTAGAATTTTAAAAGCAGAAAGTGGGAAACTTAGATTTACACGGGGTTTGTTAAAGAATAAACTATATTTTAATTAAAAAAATAACCAAGATTAAATAACAACAAAAATGATATGTTAAAACTTGGCAAAAAGTGGTTCGGCTTAAATTTTTTGACCACTGTATATTTTTTTTTTTTGTATATTTAACCCGCATCCATTTTTAACACAAATTACGTTGTGCATCAATTTGGTACATAGGGAAAAATAACCTAGGTAGTATTCAATGAAATGTTGGATTTTTTTCAATTTTTATTAAAGACCAACGTTTATTCATTTTCTGGTAATAAAAATAAAAATGCTTCATAGAAAACATTAACTACTTAATATTTTAATATGTTTTCGAAATTTGCATCAATTTGATACAAGCGATGGATGCGGGTTAATTGGACATGCACATTGCACATAAAGGTATGTGCATCCATATGTACTTATATAACAAAATTAAACAAAAAATGTTTACGCAAAAACAAAACCGATTCTAATTCTCACATAAAAATTCAAGATTATCGTTAATTTCTTCATGATCCAATGATAGGATTTAAGCCAAACTAGTAGGGGGCACCTGTGAGGTAACACCCTTCTTTAAAAAAACAATTATAGAAATCGGTTAACGTGATCCAAAGTTATGCGGTAGATATCATATAAAAAAATATATATCCCGACGAATTGATAACCTTCTCCTTTTTGGGAAATCGGTTAAAAATAAATGCCTTTGTTTGCCTCTTTCAAAGCTCATTTTGCCTTTTTCAAGTTTTTAGTGCCTTAAAATCCTAACCCTCGTTATTACCAAAGCCATTCAGGTTTTATCATCGGCGTGGTACATACCTATGTACATACATACATACAGTAGTGGAAAAATAAATAGGGCACGACGTTTTTACAGTTTTTGCCTATTTTTCTTTCGTTTATTTAATATTAATTTTTTATTATAGCTCATTATATAACAAACACCCATGATTCAATTATTAAAGGTTTTGTAAGTAGCATTTTTCTAAAATTTGGCACTCCCACCCACAGGGATGGTTTATGGAAGCAGGAGAAAAAGGGGAAGAATTCAATTACACTTCCTAAAATGGGAGCTAAATTCCATAAAAAGGTGTGGATAATAGTGAATGGTGGTATTTTAAAACAAAAGCGAATTTGATTTAATTATTTAATTTAAACAAGCTTATTTACATCGAATATAACCCCCGATTTTATGGAAAATAAATATTTCTATGTATATACCAAACTCGCGTACGTCAGATGGCGCATAACTCGAGAATGGATGGAGGATGGTCCACTTTCAGCTTTTTTTTTGTTGTATTTGTTTGCCAGATGATGGATATGAAGAAGCTATTTGTTTGTGGAAAATATGCAGTATTTATTAAACAAAAAAAAACGGCAAATATAAAAATTTGGAGCTTACGTTTCCTTCGCGGATATGGCTCGATTGTTTCGAATATGGTAATTCGAATTCTTTGATGTCGCACTTTTAATATTCTGGGGAGACTATACAACTGTCAGAATATTAACCATTCGCCGGGTTGCCCGAAACAAAATTTAATGATTAAAAATATCAAAATATAAAAAAATATAAAAAATATTCGCCATAAAAAGGCGTTTGCATTGTTCAACTTTGCATTCTACTTTCAACTAATCGCTTTCAACAAAGTTGGTCGCCAGCCAACATTCGCCTCGTGCGTAAACCTTTTAAGTGTGCAATTACATACATCGTGCCATTGACTAAACCGAACTGTCGTGTGACGATTGGGCCTATGGATGCGGTTTGGCAATGTTATATTGCGTCAAAGCCTCATTCGGAGACACCAGGATACCTTCGTTGGCTCATTTACCAAAACCATTGCATGCTTTACTTTACAGCGACTTGGCAGAATCAAGAGGTCTCCACGAATATCGACAAATATATTTCGGCATTTAAGGGAATTTCGTTTTTTTAGCCTACATTGAATTTCTGTAGTCCAACGATGCTCAACCATTTTGTCTTGTTGGCGCCAGCGAATGAAGAACCAACATTTCTTCAAATTTAAAAAGTAAAAATTTCACTACTAACAATTTAAAAATGTTCTTAAAACTTGCAAAGATATTTGGAAAAGAAATATCACTGTTTTTGTTTTTAGGAGTAGGGTGGGAGTGTCATTGATAAAATTAGAGCGAGAGAAAGTTTTTCTTACAAAACCTTTCATTATTGAATCATGACAAACACCATATAAATTCATTTTTCAAATTTTGAACTAAAATCATAAAAATTCTGCAAAATTGCATAGATTTTCAATTTTTTTACCCAGTAAGTTTTAGTAGAAGGAAGTTTAAGTTTGTTCGAAATTTTTTTTTTTTGCATGGAAAAAGTGCGTAACACATTCCGAATAAAAATTATCCAAAATCACGGCGATTTTTTAGGAACTTCTGTCTGATTATTATTGGCAAAATTTGTTTACTTTTTTGTAGAGCAAATTTTAGGCGAGCATCAACCGGGTTTTGGGGCATGTTTCACGAGAGAAATTGCTTAAATAGCTACCAAGAATAAATGCACAAACCTAAATATGTATGTAGAGATAGTAGATATCACAATAATATATTTATTTACCTGTTCATTATTTTATAATTAAAACTAGAAGCCACTTACCCGTATCATAAGCAGCCTTCAACTGCAAATTTATATCATTCGGATGGGGTGGCAGATAGTAGATGCACAGCTTACCACTTAAATTTATGTAAACATTTACATACGGACATGCATATGTACATATGTACTTACACCCACTATGAACTTAAGTTTCACTTTTTACACCTCACAATTTTAATAGGTATTTCATATGTACCTCCTTTGTCAGATGGTTGTTGTATTGCATGCTTTGGTCTTCGCAGTCTTTAAAAATTGAGGATTCATGCACTGTTTTCTTTATTTGGCTGGTTTGGCCACGTTTTTACGAAACTTGAAATTGTATTCATTCAAAAATACATATGTACATACAAACATACCATATCCGCTGTCTGTAATGGTTGCGAACGTGCTTCCGGTGCGATACTTCGCGGCGCTACGTATTACTTACAATTTTTATTAATTATTCGTTATCGTTGGCGTACAACAGCTCGCCGCTTTGGTCTACTGGAGGTGATATTGTAATTCTTTTTTTATATGTATGTTCATATGTATGTATAATCGTGCTGTTCACCTGAACACTTGATAAAACGTACGCGGGCGAACTGGTTGGTTAAAAAAAGAGGCGCAAGTGACTCAAACTTCACTGGTTATTCAATGAATATAACAATTTTACGCATAGTTTTCCGTTTCATCACCAACTCTACTTTTATCGAGGACGTAATATGTATGTATTTATGTACCAATCTTATATATGCATGTGTGTAATTGCTTTTCAATGTTTATATTTTATTGCTTTCTGTTTTTGTTTTATTTTGTACGCAACGTCAAATAAGCTGCAACTCTGCGCTGCTACTGTTGACGTCGGCCGAAGCCTGTGCGCAAAGCCATGCCGAAAATTAAGTTAGTACAACACATTTAGCGGCAGAGACGGCGACGGCGTTATCCAAAAGCAAGGCAACAAATACGATGACAAAGGCAGAGTAACGACTAATTTCACGAAACCACAACAACAAAATCGTTGAACATCTGACTTGGGCGTCAGTGTGGGCGGTGATTGGGTGCGTGTATTGGTGTTAGGTAATGGCGTTTGTATGGTGGCATTGATGGTGGTTTATTACGTTTGTCGAGCGAGTAAACTGCACAGCACGGTATGTGGGGATCGTGTACAAGAGCAACAATGGTAACAGCATTGATCAAAAACACTAATTGCTTCTGTTGTTGTTGCTTGGAGTCAGATACGGACAGCCACTTCTTCTATATTTTTTTGTTGGGCCAGGGGCTGTATGCAGGGTATGGGGCACAGTTGCTAAATTTGAAAATGGATCTCGTAATGGGCGCTGTTTCCACTCGTCGTACGCGCGTGCTCTTCAACTTCGGATGGCCTCTCTTTAACGCTACAAATAGCTGTCTGCCAGACGTTTCTAAAATTACACAATTCAGCTCATTGCCCAATAATTTCTTTTAGATTTTTTGTGTTTTCACATGCACTAGGCCAAAATAAACAAATTTTCTGGTAAAACTAACTTGAGTGCAGTTAAACTTGGCCAAAATCTGATTGGCATTTGTTTGTATTGTCAATATATATATATAAGTATATTCTCCACTTTGAAGCACCGTAAAGACCGAATTTCCCAATCAGACAAAACAAACCGCATCGAGACGGTGAACGAAGCCGACTGAAGCGTAGACGCTGCGCCGTGAACATTGCGTCGTCGTTCATAATGGCTGAGAGTGTTGCCAATGTAAATTTTAAGCTTAAAATTAACTAATTAGACAATGTAAGGCAACAGCAAGCTGTAACAAAGGCTACGTTTCTTTATACATTCCGGATAATAACATTTCACAGCCTGAATAAACAGAATGCGTTTGAAATATACGTTAACATATCATCAGAAACTTTCAAGTTTGTAACTATTTTTGCAACCCTGGGGGTGTGTTCAATAATCGAGGTGTGAATTGTAAACGTCAAGGCGTAGTCATACAAGGTGGTGTTCATGATCCAATAATACAAGGTGGTATCAGTGGTGACAGCTCGATTTGTCACTACCTTAGCTCAGTTGAGTAAAGCCCTGTATGCAGCTCTCAAGAAAACGGTCAAGTAAAAATTGAAATTCCTCAAGAAATAATGGAACGGGCATATATTTCTGTTGCAAACCTGGGTTGCCTTATGCTCTTTTTTCACAAAAAACTTTAGAAAACTGTAGTAGAAAGTGTAGTAAATTTCTTAAGAACTTCGTACTGCCTTAAGGAAATTTGACTCAAGAAAGTTTTTTAGCCATTTCTTGTACATCATTTTATATGGAGTTTTTGCTTTTCTTGAGAGCTGCATACAGGGCTTTAGGGTTGACACGGACAATATTGTCAAGACAATTATGTCAAAATGATGTGTTTGTTGTTATATGAAGTCGTCGTGTTTACAACAAACACATCATTTTGACGTAATTGTCTTGACAATATTGTCCGGTGTAAACCCTAAAAGCCTAATTATGGCAACTTAACTTAACTTAACGGAAAGTAGAACTTAGAGAATCAAAATGAAACAGATTTCGCCTTGGCATTAAGTTACGTTAAGTTTCGGCTGTTCAATTATAAGCAACATCCATTTAACAGAATTTTTAATTTAGAGCCGTAAGTAACGTTAAGTTGCCATAATCAGACCATAAGTTACTGGCGAACTTATACCACGTACGGACCGCAAACGAAAACGCTTTAAAACGAGTTTTGGGATTGTGGGCTGAGAGCTTTTCTCACCAGCTGTTAGTTTTTTCGATGAAATTACTGCACACAATTTTATTACAAAAATTTACTCTCTTTTCTGTTATTTCGCCGCACAACTTTGTTAGGTCGGTGTTATGCAGACAAACTTTTGTTTGCCAAATTAAATGGCTGCTGCTTAGTTTGCTCGGAGGTGGTTATGTCGAGTTTGGCACAGGGTTGCACGTTCATTATGGTTTTCATGGCTATTGCCAACACGAAATGAGAATTTCAGATGTACATAACGCGCAAAATTTAAAATTTTTGTGTATGACAACACCGAATTTGCTGCAGTTTGACCAAACAAAATTAGTTTGCTGTGAGAGTCGCCAAACTCGCTCTCTCCGAATTTGCTGCAACAACAATTGCACGCAGTTCGCCAAACAAAATGTCTGCATAACACCGACCTTAGAAATATTAACGTTGACCAGCTGTTTTTCCAATACTGAAATTTCGCCACGCCAATTGATTACTTTAACAGTTTCTTTTATCTTACTATACGGCTTTGTTTGCTTTTAGTCCTGAAATGTCATCGCCGCCGTGAATGCTCAACCTCATGATCCAACTACACTAGATCTGACAGGATGAAGCAAAAGAAAAAAGTAATTTTTTGGCTGACGTTTGTAATTTCGGCGCCATGTTAATTTCTGTGAAAAGTAAACAAAGAATATGAAGACGAAGCATAAAGAAAAAATGCAAGCAATGTTGTGCACATGTTTGTGCTAACCAATTTATTATTTTTGTACGTGTTTTTGCATCCAATCACCGCGCACTTCATTTTAATTACATTTGCACAAAAAATCACTTAAAAATCACCGACAAAATACACATAAAGAAAGAAGCAAAACAGAAATAGCAAACTTCGAAATTACGAACGTCACACACTTTTTTCTCAATTGCTATTACAAATGGTTGCTTCTCAACCGGTCAGATCTGTTCTAATTGGTTCATGGCGCAATCTTGTGTTCGATCAGTTCGGAAATTCCGATTATTTTGGAGCGGAAAGCGGGAACGTAATCGAAATGTAGAATGGGGTTGATTGAAGATCGATAAACATTTGAAAATTAGATGCAACCCTGACATTATTGAAGCCTATACTTTGGCAAATGTTTATTGCAAGCTTCAAATATACGCGCGTGGGAAGGAAATCTTAAGAACATAAGTTTTTTGCATGTTAGGAAAGAAATACCCACCTGTTTGCTTAGCGGTCACATTATGTTATTTGTCTGTTTGTAGAAAGTCACGGGAAATTAAGCAGCACTATGAACAATAGCTCAGCTGAACCCATCATTACAGTAACATTGGAATCCTCAGGTGAGTTGGTAAATTTATTTTATCTGCTCATATATTCCTAATATCGAGTTTACAAACAATGCAGACATGGATTCACCAGTGGCGAACCTTGATGCCGAAACTAGAAGTTTACTTGGAAATGGTGTTAATATGCCTACCGTACACAAGTCCATAACGTCCTCAAAGGTACCATGTTCGTTTACATTGTTTTCTTTACTTAACTGCTTCGCGCCCGCGGCCATCTTTGAAATGTATGTTATTGTTTATTTCTCTATTTTCACAGAACTTCTGGATGGAGCTACCCCAAATGATAGTCGTTGAAACTCGTTTTATAACACAGCAGATAGCAACGCAACGCAAAATATATTCAGCACAAACTTTGTTACCGATAACTGATGAACAAAGTGAACTTAATAACCGAAATATGTCTTTCCCAATTGCTACGCAAACGTCACCTCCACCAAAATTGGAAGACGCAGCGTCTATGATTAAGCCAGATTTAGTTGATGCATTCGTTTCAACCGATAGTCCTTACCCTTGTCGTGATCGAGCACAGCAAACTATGAAGGCTTCGAAACAAATGACAGCAATAGGTATTCAATGCAATCTAGACGACGACCTGGCATTTGTAAGAACGTCTCGGAGTAATGAAGAATCCATAGAGAAGAAAACTGACGTAAAACAAAAGTTTTTAAGATTTACCAGAGAAAAGTCCATATTTTACTTAAACGGCAAGAGGGAGTGTATGGTGTGTGGACAGGTAGAAAAAAATACGGAACGAATGCTAAAACATTTGGCTCTGCATTACGGGCCACCTGTTCTGTGTCATTTGTGTGGTTTGCAATTTGAACATCAAACTTTAATGCTATCCCACGATTGCGAAATGAAGGAGCGGAGAAGTAAAAGGCGACGTAGAAAAAATCAGCAATGCCCCATTTTCTGGTGTGGCTCAATGCATAGGTCAATGGACGCACTGAATGATCATATAGGTAAACATCTACGACAACAACGCAGGCGTGCTTGTGTAACTTTCACACTTGACCGCACAGTAGTGCTTAAAAGACCTTTGAGAACAAAATCAAATTATTTACATCGTTGTAATATTTGTTTGCGTCGTTGTAAAAACGCTGCCAAATTTGCCAAACATCGAAAAAGGTGCGTCAGTAGTTTCATGGCACGATTGAAGGAACAGCAGGACATTGCGCACATACTCATACTATGCAAAAATTAAATGGCGAGAGAATTATGAAGTAAACCTTCAAACTAAAAATGATTTATTGGATTTAAAAATGAATTTGCCATCGAATAATCAATATGATAAACATGAATTCATGAACTCTGTGGTCAAGCAGTCCCAACATTTTCCAAATCAAAAAGATGTATTAAAAAGCGTTTGGCTTTATCTATGTTAGAATGAGCATTATAAAAAAAGGAAGCCTTAAATCACATATTTTAAAATGTATTTACGTTTAAGGAATTATATTTTCTTGGAAATAAACAAAGTAAAATTAATGCATGCGCTCTCCCATTTAATTGTTATTACATCATGAATTTGTTATTCTTCTCTGACAAGTGTTTGGAGGAGCGTTTCGCATCCAGAAACAATGAGTGTACATCGTCGATGTCCTCTTTTGTAATCTGTGTTCGTCCATTCACCTTGGTCATTTGATGTGCTGGCGTAAGCAGTTGCACAGCATAGCGTAAAGTAGATGTGCTGCCAATGTCACTGAGACGGCTGAATGCTGATCCTTCCAACTGAAGGCCTTCCGTTTGGGCACGTAGCTTTATAATTTGTTCCATTTCCGAGGATGAATATGGCAATGTGCGTATGATTAGTAATCGATCAAGTAAATCTAGTGGTATACCATGCGGAGATACGATATCAGTTGTGCCGCTGGAAAATGCAGAAGAATTGAATCTATAAAAACAATATTTATATAATGGGAAAAATACCGTATGACACAACGTCCGCGGTTCGTGGCAAAGATTACAATAGGCGCTATAGGTGATTCAAGAGATTTATGTAAATATGTGAATGTTTCCAAGTCAAGCATATGTATTTCGTCTATGAAGAGTACGCCTGGTACTAGTTCGGCAATACCCTGATCGATATACTTGTTTACTACTTTGTTAATCTCCATACGCAATTTGTCTGCAGAAATTTTAGTACTAATAATTTATCATTCTATGTAGATATTTCTTACCTGTAATTTCTGTTTTCTTTGGCTTCATCAACTGACCCATCATTGAGAGCACGTCTTGCCCGCCTTGTGGGCGTGCATTTGCAACATCCAAATCGTGTAATGTGACATCCTGTATTACTTCCTTCTTCTTGTGTACATCACCTTTCGGCAGAGGTACATATTCCTCAGTTTCCAAGTCGAATTCAGTTGCAAAAGTGTCGCTGCGTCCCTGCCGTTTTACAGCGCCACTATTCGCTTCAATATAAATTACATCACCCACTTCCACTTTTTCCTTCTGCAGTGACTCGAAAATGCTTGGATCGAGCTTCAACTGTTTAGTACCTTTTGCCGTCTTCAGACCAATTACCACGTTGCTGATAGTTTTGCCATAACCGCCCATTGGATTCTCAGTTTCGACAGGTGTCAATTCAGTCACTTCACCCTCATACACTTCCTTCGTTTCGCGTATGCGCAAGCCAATTGAACGTCGGAAATTTTCCATCAAAACTTCAGTTTTTTTGATTTCGCTGCTGAATACTTCAGAGCCGACCATGGGACAAAAGGGTACTTTATTACCCAATTCTTGAGCAATAGCTAGAGCTATTGCCGTCTTGCCTGTACCTGGTGGTCCGGCTAACAACAACGCACGACCAGCCATTTTCTTGGACTTAATAAGATCTAAAACAATACCGGCGGCTTCGCGTGCAGTCTTTTGCCCTACCAGACCAGCGGCGATTGGCAGTGGCACGCCATTCTCATCCAGTCCCAGACCTTTCACGTGGCTGTGTGCTGCGATGCGTTGAGTGCGCACAGTGCTTTTCACTTCCTCGATCTTCATATTGATTGGAATAAGTAAGTTTTATTAATTTTAATGCGTGTCTAGACTTTATCGATCTAACTTTTGCCTTTTATTTTTGGGGAAGTTTCAAATGGCGTTTGGCGCAGCGCACGCTATTTTGTTTTTATTTGAAGGCCGGCTGTCAAACCTAGGGTTAGGATTGTCCTACTCACAAGAACGATACTATCGATAATTTTTGCTCCGTGTATTTTTTGCATCGATGCTTTTAACGAAATCAAACTTTTCTTATCATTTTTTGCTGAAATTTTATTTATTCGTTTTGATACTATGTACATGTTTAATAAAAAGGTTTTAATAACTCTGCAAAGAAATATGTAAAGTATTGTTGTATGTATGTATACTTGAATTTGCGTAGTAAAAAAATCAATTTCCATGAAACAATCGATGAAGATATCGGCAGTGTTGCCTGTTGACCTTTTTATACGAAGACAATATTTCTCCTTGTATTTTAGTACTAGTTTTTATAAATCAAAAAAGGAAGCAACACAGGCCAAGGCAGAATGCGGGAGCGAGATAATTGCCTGGTTATCCAACCTTGTATTATTGAATCATGGTTTTTTGTGTAAAAATATAAAAAGCATAAAAATTATGTACATTAGCTAAAAACAATGTTGTCAGGTTGTTGAATTGGTCGTCATTTTGAAGATTTTTCATTGCCATAACGATTTTTCTGTATGTGCAAATTTGGCTGGTTCTCAACTTTGCACATAGTTACACAGATAACTAAAAATTACAGTGTAAACACTTGTTAAGAGTTTGCCATTTCTGCTAATACATAATTGTGTCGAAATTATAACATGTGCAGCACTAATAGTAGTTATCGATAAGTAGTTTTCTTTATCTTTGTTTCATCACTATTTGTGTAGTTTTTGGCGGCCAAATTGGTACCTTTTTAAGGTACCAAAAATTCCGTGATTGTTGGCAAAAATCCCGGGATTTTCGGGATTTGTAATTTTCACTGATGACAATAACAGAAACTCATTTTCTTGACCAATATTGGCTATTTTTCTTTTTTATTTAATAATTAATAATAAAAATGTTAATAACAAAAATCAATATATTCGCGAACTATGGGCCAAATATAGTAAAATTGCGTTTTAAGCTTTTGATTCTGAAGTCAGTAGTTCAAAAATGATTTGAAAAATTCAGAGAAATGTGCTTAAAGAAAAAGTATGGGTATCAAATTAAGGAGGAAATCCTGTAGAATTTAAACAGATTCAAGTTTTTGACGCAGAAGGACTAGTAAGTATCGAAAATTACTTTTGAAATTTTATCCTTGACATTTCGCAATATTTGTTTTTGAAAAAATTATATGTCAAGGACTTATATCAACTCTATATAACTTAATCTGTTTAAAAATTACCTATCCGTCTTTGCGAATCCAAAAAATTCTAAAGAAATTTCCTCTTGCATTTTTTTCTACATTTCATTGAACTTTCTAAATAATTTTTGGAATTAATCGTATCGTTGAAATTACAATGTCCAGTAAAAAAAATCCTGACGACAGAGAGAAAAAATAGAAGCGCTACATAAATAAAAAAAGTAGGTTTCACACCCATTTATTTATTACTTATTTTATGGTAGGCGAGCTTCTCAAACAATATAGAAGCAATTTTTTCGATTTAATTTGTTGCAAAGTAATGAATATCTATTCCCGGGATCGGAAAAAGCTGAAAAATGAACATCCCTAACTGGTACATATTTTATTGAGTGAAGAGAATTATGAATAAATTCTTTAGTAAAACTTGTTAGTATGAACAGTTTTTAATGCACATCGTTAAGTTTGAAAAAAAATTTAGCTGAAAATGTAATTTTACTGTAATTAAAAATATTTTTGTAAAATTCGTATAAAAGTTAAAATTTTTATTTTTTACGTATAGCAATCAGAAGCTAGAATAAAATGAAAAAAATCAGTAGGGCTTCCTGGTTCCGTTTATTAAAATTTTTTATATTTTTACGAATGTTACATGCAAATGACGATTTTTGAGAGCCATGCTGACGATCTCTGACTTCAATGACCTGGCGACACTGGCTGAAAGATAAATTAAATGGCCCGTAGTCATAGTCAAAATAAAGTCGACTTTAAAGTTAGTTGC